TCTCCCCTGGCGAGCAGGACCTCAGTTAGAGGAGTCACGTCTGGAACGTCCTCCTCTGCCCGGATCCCAGAGCATCCGTTCACCCCACAGACCACCGCTCCCCTCTGCCAAGTGTACACTCCTTTGCGTTGTTAGCAGCTAGGCAGATCCCAGCAGCTGCGTCTCCATAGAAGTGTCAGGTCACCCCAAAATGCCACAGGAAATTTCCATGTGTGTCAAAGGCTGAGCGAACAGAGCTGGTCAGACTTCACATTCCCCAGAGAAGGCCAAGGAGGTAGCGGACGTGGGTCAGACCCAGACCTGGAGAGTCTGTGACCTGCATAAAATCACCTGCCTGTGGGGAGGGAAGAGCCCTTTGTCCTGAGAGGAGTTTCTGTGACTGTTTTATATGAAAGGATGGTTTCCGAGCCGATTTCCCTTGATGAGAACTTTTTAAAGCGATTCAGATTAAACATTGATTCCAAACAGTTAAAAGTCAGCTGCAAATGTAAATGATTATTCTCTTTTTAAAATAATAATAATAATAATTTTTAAATGTTAGTTATTTATTTTTAATTTGGCCAGAGAGAGGCAGCAAAAGAGGGAAAGTGAAAAAACAAGCTGCCAGGCCCAGGATTCAAACCACGGTCGGCCCTGTGGGGGTCTAGCACCTTAACCACACCACATCACCTGCCGACCCATGGGTGTTTTTCCTTTAAATCGTGGACAAGGTGGTTGAAGAAGATTCCAGATATGCCTTGGCCAGGGTAAGCATTGGACGGTATGTTTAGAAATGAGATTTAAGATTATCCCTTGTTTTTTTCCCTTAGAATAACATGGACTTGGAAAACGGTCAGGATGAAGATGAGGAGAGAAGACAGAAGAAGCCACTCCAGGGGGATGGCCGTGACCTGCCACTTAAGACTAGGGAAGGGGACCCCCTGGAAAAGGGCAGGTAGGAGCCTGTTCCTGGCTGTCCATGAAAATTTACAAAGCCTGCTCCGTCCGCTCACTCCCAGAAAGGGTTCCATTACTGATGCAAATCAGATTCAGCTTGAAGATGGTCATTCCAGTAATACATTACTTAGTGCTGGGACATACCGGCATCGCGCAGAAGTTTGTCCTTCGCTCTTGAATATAAATAGCCTTATTTTCCAACAGGCAAAGCCTTTTTTTTATAATAAAGGGAAATACTGAGGCCAGCAGCTAGCATAATGGCTAAGTCGCTGGACTCCCACGTAGTTGTCCACGGTTCGAGTCTCGGACCCGGTGGCTTAAAACTCACGCCAGGCGCATATGCGTGCATGCCCAAGATCCCGAGAGGAGAATGGAGGAGAAGGGATTACGGCGTGGCCATCCCCCCTGGGAGGTGATTTCTCGCTTTCTGTCTTTCTGTCTCTCTCTGTCTGGTGAGCGCACGCGCCCTATAGCAAAACCCTCTCCAAAAAAAAATTTAAAAAAAAATAATAAAGGGAAATACTGTAGACAATGAAAGAAGTATGTTGTCAAAGTCAAAGCCCCAAACTGAAATATCACTCACCTGAAATGATCAGTGTGTCTGGGGGGACAGAAGCTAAAATGAGGCTCGGGACTTCCACCCATGGTGGGGACCGAATTTGGTCATTAGTGTCCCTGGGCCATGAGAAGCCATGTTGTCCTGAGGGACAATATAGGGGGTAACAGCCAGTCAACTGTTAGGGATAAACACCATACCTATGAGCTCCAGAATGTTCTGTAGGAGGTCAGAAAAGGATGGGCAGAAGCCCTGGACCACAGAGCTAGGTGAGACTGGAGCAGACGCTGGTGTAGCTAGGGGCTCCGTGAGTTCATTGGTGCCAGCCCATGTCTAACTAAGGACCTGCAGGAATCCGAAGAGGCTGGCAGTGTTCTGCCACCAGCATGTTCTTTAGGGGACAGACGTTTGGCTCTGGGACTCCACGATACCAGAAAGGTACATGCATGTCCAAGAGGACCCAAAGGCATTACTATGCATCATTTTCAAACGCTGGCTAGTTTGAAAGGTTGGCTGAAGGCTAAGCTCTTCTGGTGGCATGTTGCTCTAGAATTTTCTTCTGCTATCAGCTAGAAACCTCAGTGAATTGGATATTTTAGGAGCTTGAGCTGAACCGAGGCTCTGTGGAGTCTTTGGGTGGGCACACCTGCTTCCAGCTAATGCTGTTTAAAAAGACTTTCCAGATTTTTGGGACCAAAAGTTAGTGTAATGGCTACGTTGCTGGACTCCCACGTAGTCGACCGCGGTTCGTGTCCCAGACCCGGTGGCTTAAAACTCACACCGGGCGCGTGTGCGTGCGTGCCCAAGATCCCAAGAGGAGAATGGAGGAGAAGGGATTGCGGCATGGCCATCCCCCCTGGGGGGTAATTTCTCGCTTTCTGTCTCTCTGTCTCTCTCTGTCTGTCTGACAAGTGCACGTGCCCTATAGCAAAAAACCCTCTCCGGAAAAAGAAAAAAAAAAAAAAAAAACCTTTCCAGATTTTTGAAACAAAAAAGCATGAGTCAAAAAGATTTTTAAATGCTGAGAAGCATTCATATGAATTTCTGCTCGTTCTTGGGCTACCCTGTCACTGTGAGAAACTTCCCCTTCATTTCTTGCACACAGAAGCTATGGGAAAGCCAAGGAGTTCTCATGGGCTACGCAGGCTCTGTGCAACCCAGATCATTTCTCCAGTACTTCTTTTGTGTGAAAGAAAACGTGGGAAGTTCCAGTTCACGCTGGCCACCTGTGAAATTATTAGAGTAAAGAGCTCTGTGAACAGGGAAGGCATTTAATGTGTCTGTCCTCTGAGCTGGTTACGTTGATGGGTCACAAAAAATGAACGTATGGGGACCAGCAGTTAGTGTAATGGCTATGTCGCTGGACTCCCACGTAGTCGATGGTGGTTTGCGTCCTGGGCCCAGTGGCTTAAAACTCACGCCAGGCGCGTGTGCGTGCGTGCCCAAGATCCTGAGAGGAGAATGGAGGAGAAGGGATTGCAGTGTGGCCATCCCCCCTGGGGGGTGATTTCTCGCTTTCTGTCTCTCTGTCTCTCTGTCTGTCTGGCGAGCACACGCACCCTATAGCGAAAATCTCTCCAAAAAAAGAAAAAAGAATGTATGGAGATTTTTAGCATTGTATAGCCATCTAAAATCTACTTTAAAGCGAAAAGGATAATTAAACAATTTGTTCCCATTTCTTTTTTCATGTCATAATTGGTACTTGTATGCCCTAAAGAACAGGGTGAATAAATTCTCTCCTGCTGCTTTTACTTCTGTTCTGAAGTCCATGTCTCTGTTTCAGCACCCTAACTCAAGGGGTTTCGGCCCACTCCGAGAACCCTCTACCGAAAGGACTGTTCCAGGACCGTCAGATGGGCGCAAAGGCCGGGACCTCGTACTGCGGGATCGGCCCACAGCCCGCTCAGGGTAAGACTGGAGAAGACCATGCTGTGTAAATTACGTGGACCCCCTCAGTGTGCCCAGACATATGCATTCTGCCAGCCAAACCTGTCTCTAAGGGCCCTGGACTTCCAGCTCATGCTAACTGTGTAGTCAGACTCCCACCACTGAGTACCCAGTCTCCATGAAAACACTGGAAACTCAATGAGACCTGAGGAGGTGTTAGCATTTAAAAAAAAAAAAAAAGTAACTTCACAGAAGCCTTTGCCCTTCATAGGCAATTATTTTGAGACTTCCTCAAAGTTCCTGGCTCTATCATTAGACGTGTCTCCTCATGAAATGCTTGTAGAGGAGCAGGGTCTACAACTCTGGGGTGAGGAGTCAGTGCTGAGGTTGGGAGGGCCCCAGCAGCTTCCCCCCAATCCTGCCTCATTGCCACCCGTGGCTCCCACACTCTGGGCTCACCACGACAGAAACCAATGTTTCCCTCACCCTGATGGGCAAACCGTAAATGCCGTGGTACCTCGGGAGCTTCTAGATAACTGAAACTTCGATGTTGGGTGCTTGAAACCTGCATTCTGACCCTCCTTTGATTTGGGAAGTGTACGTTTGAGTTGGTTTTCTGTTAGTTTAATTGTTTTGTTTCTGTGTTTTAATTTTTAATATATTTTTCTCTATTATTATTATTATTATTACTATTATTATTATTACTTATACATTCTATTGTGATACATCATTTAGATTTTAAAGAAACTTTACCCAGCGTGACATACACCTCAGCTCAATCCGGTTGTGACTACTAGACACACCCTCATTGACAGATGATAAAACCGTGTCTATGTCCCCCAAATGTCTTACCTCTCTATTTTTCCCCCTGGTTTTCCTTTCCTTCGCTCTTCCCCTCCCACGCTTTTCTTCCACCTCGTCTGTAGTGTCCATGACAATTTGTAATGCTTTTATGTGTTGGTGTTTTCATTTTACCACGAAGGAACCTTGAGAGCCTTTGCTCCTGGCAGGTGCTTTGTGACTTAGTCTAGAGACAGGGTAATTATGTGAAAAAGATGTTGAGCTAAGAGGTGCCCACAGCCTTGTGAATCTGGTTAAGCAATTAAACATGCTTTACTGTAAAGCTCATCCATGGGCCTTGTGTATTTCTGACATATTATCTATTCATATATTCGCATGGAATGATTAGAATACATTAGCATAGATGGGTAGGGTGTTTCATATAGAGGTGTCCTGCAAGGGGAATACCATTCAGATGCCCTGTGGATTTAACCCACATCACGGTGGTGGTAATCCATGCGTCAGAGAAGGCAGTGGCTCTTCTCTGGGTTCTAGAAATGACCCACCCAAATGTGCTTTCTTTAGTGCGTGGAAGCCAGTATTTTTGCATAGTGTTATTGTAACAATTACATCATAGGCGAGGGAGGCACAGGGCCCTACTTCCGGACCTCCTTTGTTTCCAGAACTAATTTGCAACACAGTGAATAAGCAGGCTTCTCCAGCCACCATGTGCCCACAGCCCACAGGAAATGCTGTGAGTCCTCAGCAAGCCTTAGCACGTTAAAGGAAGGTGACTTCCTAGACCCTGCGCTCACCTTACTGAACACCCAGTTTATGTTTCTGCTTGGCCTCAGACCTGTCGCAGAATCACCAGGCTGCAAACCGACCAACACACCTTGCAGAAGATGAGAAGCCCAACACCCTCCCGCTGGATACAAGCATTAACCATCAGATTGAGTCTCCAAGTGAAAGGCGGAAGTGAGTGATCGAATAAGATGGACGTGAATTTTCTTTTTTAAATTGCGTTGACTTCGACGGGTGGGCCAAATGAAAAACGATGAGATGGCAAGATGTCGGCAATATTTTTGTTCCTTCTCTCCATTTCCTGTTTGGGCAGTCTTCCTGGGAAGTAAACCTTCACTCTGACTTAGCAATATCTAAGAGACGAAGTGAGGTTTTCAACCCACACAGCTCAACATTATAAAGAATTTGCAGGACTGTTGTATTAACAACCATTAATTTGAGTTCAGTTGTCTCAAAGCCTATGAACAAATGTTCCTTTGTGAAAAAAACAATTGTTATACTCACATTATTATGCCCTCCCATTAAGATGGCTACCCAGAAAAAAAAAAGGGGGGGGAACCAGCAGTTAGCGTAATGGCTATGTCGCTGGACTCCCATGTGGTCGACCGTGGTTCAAGTCCCAGACCCCGTGGCTTAAACTCATGCTGGGTGCGTGTGCGTGCGTGCCCAAGATCCCGAGAGGAGAATGGAGGAGAAGTGATTGCAGTGTGGCCATCCACCCGGCGGGCGATTTCTCGCTTTCTATCTCTCTGTCTCTCTCTTCCTGGCAAGTGCATGCGCCCTATAGCAAAAACCTCTCCAAAAAAAGAAAAAAAATAAAAAAGATGGCTACCCTAGGCAGGATAAACAGATGGCATAATTGTTACATCACTGGACTCCCACATAGTCGACCACAGTTCAAGTCCTCGACCTGGCGGCTTAAACTCATGCCATACACATGTGCGTGTGTGCTCACAATCCCAAGAGGAGAATGAAGAAGGGATTGTGACATGGGGTGATTTCATGCTTTCTGCCCGTCTGTCTCTACACACGCGCCCTATAGAAAAAAAATATCTCTCGGGAACCAGCAGTTAGGTAATGGCTATGTCGCTGGACTCCCATGAAGTTGACCACAGTTCAAGTCCTCGACCTGGCGGCTTAAACTCATGCCATACACATGTGCGTGTGTGCTCACAATCCCAAGAGGAGAATGGAGGAGAAGGGATTGCGGCGTGGCCATCCCCCCTGGGGGGTGATTTCTCGCTTTCTGTCTCTCTGTCTCTCTCTGTCTGTCTGGCAAGCGCACGCGCCCAATAGCGAAAACCTCTCAAAAAAAAAAAAAAAAAAAAACTACCCTAGATTATATTCTAATTTTATAAGAACTATCTATTTTTTAAAGAATTAGTTTATCTAACTTTATTTATTTATTCATTTTAATTGACCAGAGAGGGACAGAGTGGGGAGGGGGGAGTGAGAAACCAACTCACCAGGTCTGGGACTTGGACCTGGTCAACCATGTGGAAGTCTAGTGTTCTTGACCAACACACCACCTGCTGGCCCCAAGAACTATATTTTTGCAGTCATAATAGGCCCCATAATGTGTAAGGCATTTGCACGTCATAGGTACTGTGTTGAAGAGTTTACGTATTCTTTCTCTCTTCTTCTTTTTATACATTAACTTTCTGAACCTTCCCAATAACTTTTGAAAGTTCTTTTTCCTCTTTTACAGATGAGAAAAATTGAGGCTCCAGGAAGTTAAATATTAATAACTTACCCAAAGTATTTAGTAAAATGGAATAAGAATTCAAATGGACCCACGATTCACAGCAGAATTCTATTTGAGCCATAGCTGTAACTTGTCCTCATTTTTGGCTCCTTCACCATGTTAAAGAAAAACTTATTTAACAACTTCCTAAGAAAATAACATTTATTATACTTTAATCATTTTTCCTAGAGTCAGTCCACTGTGGTTTTGAGCACCTGGCAAATTCCGACTTTGCCACTTGTCTACGCAGGACCTTGAGCGAATTATTTCCTCTGTCTCTGCCTCAGTCTCTTCATCTATAAAATGGGAACTATAGTTGTACCTAGCTGATGGGGCTCCTGTCTGGAAAATATCCTATATAATGTAGGTTATGGTGGTGAGAATTTGCTGTGTAACATTTATAATTTTATATATTTTGCCCCATTTTTCTCATGACATTTTCTTTTTCTCGGTATGGTATTTGAACCGTTTCCCCTTTTATCTTAGGTCTATCCAGTTTCATTTCTGTATATCTGTTTGACACTCAAAATCAACAGAAACAAAAGCCTTGTAGAAGTAATTATTGCTGTTATTGCTTATTGCATTGGTTTTCAACTTTTTTTTAACCAGTGGTACCCATGTTACTGGGTTGTCAGAAAAGTCATGACATATATTTCTATGCAAAAATGCATCATCGAAACCAGCAGTTGGCATAATGGCTATGTTGCCGGACTCCCATGTGCTCGACCACAGTTCGAGTTCCGGACCTGGTGGCTTAAACTCACACCGGGTGTGTGTGCGTGCGTGCCCAAGATCCCGAGAGGAGAATGGCGGAGAAGGGATTGCAGTGTGGCCATCCCTCCTGGGGGGTGATTTCTCGCTTTCTGTCTCTCTGTCTCTCTCTGTCTGTCTGGCAAGCACACGCGCCCGATAGGCAAAAAAAAAAAAAAAAAACTCTCAAAAAAAAAAATGCATCATGACCATTCCGATGACCCAATACATGGAAAGGTGATACTTTGGAGAGGTCCAGCCATGCCCGAGGGGACTGGGGAGCCATGTGAAAGCAGGAGAAATAGCCTCACGTCCCGTTTCCCTCTGTGTTGGCGTCTTTTCCACTCTTGCGCCTCTATGTCCTATCCCTGCCTTTGTGAATGGAGTTAACTTTTAAAAGCAAGAGACCAGGCTGGCAGCTTAACCCCAGGCAGGGTCATTGCAGCCCATGGGCATCACCGTCCTGCCCACTCCTGGCTGAGGACTGTCCCCATCTATGCTGCCCGTGACACGCGATTGTTCAGTGTTTAGAACACTGCCCTTCACCACGTGTTCCAGAAAATACCTGCCTCGAGGTCTGCCCTGTCTTCCCCGGGCTTCTTCCACCCCATCTCCCCACACATCCTTCCCTTTCGCTGATGCCATCATTTTTGTATCGAAAGCAGCATGCAAAAGGAGGTCGGTGAATAACTTTTCAACGACAATTCAGCAGGCCAGCAGGTGCATGACGGTTAAGGCGGCTGGATCCCAGATGGCCAGCTGTGCGGTTCGAATCCTGGGCCCAGCAGCTTGAAATCACACCGGGCACATGTGCATACGTGCCCAAAATCCTAAAAGGAGAATGGAGGAGGAAGGATTGTGGCGTGGCCATCACCCTGGGGGTGATTTCTCACTTTCCCTCTCTCTGTGTGTCTCGCCCAGGAGAGAACATGCACCTTATGGGAGGACGGGAGGGCGATTAATTGAAAAAGGATTTAACTGAAAATAAAGACGAGAAAATTCTGCAGGCCTGCCTGGTTTAGACTTTATGTAGCCAGAGCATGCATAATCCTTGTATGGTCTGATTTTGTTGTTAAGATTTTTTTTTTTAATCTGTGATGTCTTCTTGTATAATCGGGCACCTCTTTGCTTGTCTTAACTGTTGGCTCCTTTGCCGTGTTACAGGAAAAGCCCTCGAGAGAACTTCTGGGCTGGACCCTCGTCCCCCTGTTCTCCCACCCCTCCTGGGCAGTCACCAAGCAGGTACCAGAGATCCAAGCCTTTCTGAGGCTGCTTTGTTTTCACTAGAGCTTCCTGAGCCTCGTTTCAGCAGAATTAGTGCTTGTCAAATGTTTTTGAGGGAGTCGTCCATTCACCTCTCTCTCTCTCTCTCTCTCTCTCTCTCTCTCTCTCACACACTGTCTTAACTGTTGGCTCCTTTGCCGTGTTACAGGAAAAGCCCTCGAGAGAACTTCTGGGCTGGACCCTCGTCCCCCTGTTCTCCCACCCCTCCTGGGCAGTCACCAAGCAGGTACCAGAGATCCAAGCCTTTCTGAGGCTGCTTTGTTTTCACTAGAGCTTCCTGAGCCTCGTTTCAGCAGAATTAGTGCTTGTCAAATGTTTTTGAGGGAGTCGTCCATTCACCTCTCTCTCTCTCTCTCTCTCTCTCTCTCTCTCTCTCACACACACACACACACACACACACACACAGAAACAGGAGGAAAGAAAACAGTCCCCACCGCCTTCAGATTTATCAGCCCACAGTAAGAAAAAGACAAGCGTGTGACGTTGGCCCGGGGTGGCCACAGAGCTTTAATTACATTGTGTGGAACCTGCAATCTAATAATAAAACCCACCAGACAATCGCTGGGCTCCTAAGTGGGCGCCTCTCCCCCAAGACGCCTCAGTCCTTCGAGGCAGGATCCGCTGATGGCCCTGCCAGAGAACCAGGCGGAGGCTGACGGAGAAACTCCATCCTTCTCTCTTAACCTCCTCCGGCTCTCTAATGATTGCTTCTGGACATTAATTGGGCCCCATGATATTCTTAAAAGCTGCCTGAATTGCCATTCACTGGAGGGACAAATTACCGAGTACTCAGAGGTTTTCTTAGCTGCACAAAGTTCATTTAACTACTGGAGACGAGGGAAATCCTAATAAATAGGGTGGAGAAGGACAATGGTTCCTCGCTCCCATGGTCTTCCTGCTTCTTCAGCCCCTCTCTGCTGTGTGGGCTTTCAAATGACCGTGCGTATTTGGGGTCTCTTGTGTAATTCCAGGAGCTTTGCAGAAAACAGGCATCGCTGCATTCGGATCTGAGTCACCCAGAAGCTGCCCTAAGGGGACAGCTGTCTGGTTCCGCAGGGCAGTTGGCCATGTCCTCTCTCCTGGTGTTGATCTGCTGGGTTTAGCTCGAATCTCTTGGGGAGCTCTGAGCTGGGAGTGGCAGGGGTACAGAGAGGATAGGTAACCCCAAGCCCACTGGGCGTCCGACGTAGAGTGAAGCCAAGTGTCGGAGTTACTCAGTCATGAAGTGGACCAAGAGGGAGGAGAGGTCATTCCAACCGGTCCTCTCCTTTTACAGGCGATAAGGAAATCCGAAGTGAGTCCTTTACACCACATCACAGAACTTGGTGACAGAGCAGGGCTTAGATTCTGTACCTCGGCCCCTCTGCCTGCACCTGCTCTGCTCTGTCTTAACATCACAGACTCTGTTTTTCATTTACTTGCTTTAATATTTGCTCTAGGGCATGTGTGCTTGCCAGAGAGAGACCGGGAGACAGGGACAGAGAGGGAAAGTGAGAAATCACCCCAGTGGGGATGGCTATACTGCAATCCCTCTTCCCCCACTCTCCTCTTGGGATTTTGGGCATTTAAGCACAAGTGTCCAGCATGATTTTTCAAACTGCCAGGTCCAGGACTTGAACAAGAGAATCAGCTATATGAGATCCAGTGCCTTATCTTTCACAGCACCTACTGGCTCCAGTCGACTCTGTTTTTAAACAAAATGATGGATTTTTTTCCCTTAGTAAGTAAAAAATGCCCTATACAGACGTTCTTTTTCATATAAAGAAAGTTTCCTTCTATTCTGGTTTGCTGAGTTTGTTTTGTTCTATAAGCATATGCAAGTACAATGGGCTTTTTTAAAAAAAAAATATGTAGTATTATCTTTAATTTGCTGTGGGGCATATGCACTCACCAGAGAGACAGAGAGAGAGAAAGGGAAGGTAAGAAAGCAAGTTGTCCAGTCCAGGACTTGAACCGTAGCTGGCCATGTGGGAGTCCAACACCTTAACCACCATGCTACCTGCTAGCCCTGTGTACGATGAGCTTTTAATCCGTGACAACTTTTACTACTTTAAAATATCCCTCCCAAATGGATCTCATCTTATTTTTTGCAGATCTGCAAGTAATTTAAATTTTCATAGCTTGGAGCCAGCAGGTGGCGTGGTGGTTAAGCTGCTAGACTCCCACATGGCCAACTGAGGTTCAAGTCTCAGATCTAGCAACTTGAGAATCACGCTGGGCACGTGTGCGTGCGTGCCCAAGATCCCGAGAGGAGAATGGAGGAGAAGGGATTGCGGCGTGGCCATCCCCCCTGGGGGGTGATTTCTCACTGTCCCTCTCTTTCTCAAGTGAGCGCATGCATGTGCTCTTTGGCAAAAAAAAAAAAAAACCCTGAAAACAATTGTTTTTTGTAGCTTCGCTCTGGTATATATGGGCTTGCTTACTTCATTATTCTATTTTAAAATAGAAACCAATTAATAATAGTAAACTGGGATCAGCAGTTAGCGTAATGGCTATGTCGCTGGACTCCCACGTAGTCGACCGCGGTTCGAGTCCCGGACCCGGTGGCTTAAACTCACGCCGGGCTCGTGTGCGTGCGTGCCCAAGATCCCGAGAGGAGAATGGAGGAGAAGGGATTGTGGCGTGACCATCCCCCCTGGGGGGTGATTTCCTGCTTTCTATCTCTCTGTCTCTCTCTGTCTGTCAGGCGAGCGCACACGCCCTATAGCAAAAACCTCTCCAAAAAATAAAAAATAAAAATAATAGTAAACTAAAAACAGTGCAGAGGAAGGGTGGGCAATGGAGTAGGGGAGGGAATCAAGGGGAAAAAGCAAAACACATAATGGACATAAAAATGGAAAATGGTCTGCTGCTAATGTGTATGATCATAGAAAATAGACAGAATACATAGGGACCAGCAGTTAGCATAATGGCTATGTCGCTGGACTCCCACGTAGTCGACCGCGGTTCGCGTCCCGGACCCGGTGGCCTAAAACTCACGCCGGGCACATGTGCGTGCGTGCCCAAGATCCCAAGAGGAGAATGGAGGAGAAGGGATTGCGGCGTGACCATCCCCCCTGGGGGGGGTGATTTCTCGCTTTCTGTCTGTCTCTCTGTCTCTCTCTGTCTGTCTGGCGAGTGCACGCGCTCTATAGCAAAAAAAAACCTCTCCAAAAAAAAGAATACATAAACATTAATTTAAAAATTAGCACTACCCCCAAAAAGAAATGCTTTAGTAAGTCAATGAATAAATTTTGATACGTTTTCAAGCAACATTGAAACCTTAATAAAGCTAAACTTGAATATCATTTAGGCTTATGAACACATATAGATATGTCGAAGCATTCTAAGGCGTCTGACGTCTGGGGTTGAATAGGGGTTGACTAGACCACACAACTCCCTTCCCAGAACGACAGCGCGTGTACGTACCAGACTCCACGCACAGGGAGGTTGAGTGTGTTGAGTCTAGCGGTTGTTACAGCTTCTATCTGCTGCTTGATTTCGTGTTCATTGTCAATTCAGTACTTGCCTTTTCGTTCATGATGGAAGGAAGCGTTATAAAAATCTACAGTTTCATTTTTGCACGTGGTTGATGTCTGTGTCTGCCCCCCCCCACAGTGAACTGAGGCGGTTACCAGCGCGTTCCTTTCTCACCCTAGGTCTATAAGCGGGAAGAAGCTGTGTTCTTCCTGTGGGCTTCCCTTGGGCAAAGGAGCCGCGATGATCATCGAGACCCTCAACCTCTATTTCCACATCCAGTGTTTCAGGGTGCGTACCACTGACCTTCTCCCTATGGACGACATGGTGGTGTCTTAGGCGCCTCCTGTAAATCGGAGGCCGTTGCGCGAGGCCTCCCCACTGAGCGGTTTGGATAGACATGAGTGGAGGCCAGCTTTGGGGATGACGGGTTCCTGTCCCGAAGCCCTCTAGGCTGTCAGGTTAGGAGCAAATAGATTTGTGCAATTCATCTTCCCCAAACAGCCTTCTCTGCTTAAAAACGTGCCCTTGGGACTAGCAGTTGGCATGATGGCTGTGTTGCTGGACTCCCGTGTAGCCAACTGCAGATCGAGTCCCAGACCCGGTGGCTTAAACTCATGCTGGGCACGTGCGTGTGCATGCCCAAGATCTTGAGAGGAGAGTGGAGGAGAAGGGATTGTGGCATGGCCATCCCCCTTGCGGGGGATGATTTCTCGTTTTCTCTCTCTCTGTCTCTCTCTCTCTCTCTCTGGAGCGCACACGCACTATATCGCAAAAAAAGA